ATTATTATTATTATTATTATTATTATTATTATTATTATTATTATTATCAGTAAAAATATGAAAATGAGATTATTGTAAGACGCGACCAAGCTGCACGGCGCAGAATCGTACAAATTGCTGTTTCGCATAATATTAGAGACTAATGTCATAGAAATGTATACGCACAAACATCGGTCAGGTAAATATTGCTACCTTGTGTTTTTTATTGTTGTGGAAATAGAAGACCATTAGAAACGTTCTGAATATCCATAAAAAAAACGACTTTTTCTCGTGAGAGTTAAAAAAAAAAATTGATTCAGAAACGATTAGATTAGAAGCTACAGTAGTTTGATATTATATATTATTTAATTTAATTGATATAAACAAAACACGTCATTATTTTTATTTTATCCCTTAACATTTTCTCAAAATATTGTACCACCATTATCCCACTAAGTGTACTTCAGTAGTAAGTCCAATCAATTCTTACAGAATCTATATTTTAATATTTCTCGTTTTCAAAGACATAGATAGTTGCGTGAAAGATATTTGTTAAACTATTTAGCTCATGCAATTGTCTAAATAATTATTTAAAATAATTATGAATGAGACTCATAGGTTTCACCCCGACTAAAATATCGAAATTTCCGAGTTGCGAGTGATGCTCACACAAACGAAACGTTTTTAAAAAGTGTTTTCTATTTCCTTATGTCGAGCTTGAAATTCCTTCATAGGTAGCAAAATCATGTGTATTTTTTTTGCCTTTTTAGAGTTAATAATACTTATATTTTTATTTCTTATTGATAAGTTTTGTTCATTTCGTTTTAATCGTTCATTTGTATTGTTGTATAGTTTTTAAATATTGTTCTCCGTGATTGTAATATTATTATGTTTAAACTACTTGTGTAGGGTTATCCGCAGATGACAATTTATATGTGAATTACTAAGTTGATGTTAATAAAGTATAAGAAAAATGGGCTACACGTCGTGAGTGGGTTATGACTTGAAGTAAACTAATCCCTATAGCTACACGCGTTATGTACTAAGTACATCATTTTTTCCTTTTCAAAGCTGAATCAATTCATTGATCAATCATACAAAAGTACAAACAATTTACGCTCATATCGTATCAACTATACGGTAAGAATTAAAGAAAACCATAAGCTGGGAAAATCGCGTCCAAAGATGTTTGTATAATATTATGTTTGTGAAATTATACTGTATACTAATATGGCTCACATTCATACATTACTGTATATACAAGCATTCTGTTCCTTATAGATCGTCTAGGCACCACAAGTATGAAGGTATACAATACACACAAAATATAATTAACTATTGAATTGTCATAAATTTAACGTACCTACGTAGAAATAATACCGTGTCGTACTCGCATCAACGCTAATAATATAGATGCACAGATTTTTAGTTTTACGTTTTATGTGTAGACAGGATAGACCTTTTAATTAGTTAAAAGTTAAATAATTATTTAATAAATTAATAAAATAAAATAAAATAATTAACTAATTAAATTTGTTTATAAGTCTATGGTAGACACAATATCACCGACACATTCTAATTAAATTCATTGTCAGCAGACAGTGTGTGATCTGTAAAGTGTGTACATTTTAAATATGTATACATCTGTATACATGATGATAAAAACAATTAATTATCTCCGGAGATAATATCTAACAACCGCTAAAATACTATTCTTGATCGAATTAATCTTGAAACTAATTTTGAAAGACTACCAGTCTATAAATATAACTCAACAATCAACAGGGTTACAAACATTATAATAAACATTTACTATCTACCTCAATTAAATATTTTCAACGGTTTTACTAATATGCTCATACTTATATAATACCTACGGTACATTGGTTTCGATTAATAATGATTTTGTTATTATTATTGTTTTTACCGATAGTTTATTGTTTTATAACTTCGAAGCCTCGAAGCCCATAAAACGCTAATTTATAGAAAATAGGTGACATTCAAATAAATCTTATGAACGAAACTGAATGTACCTACTTGTTTTTAATTTAATACGCTTTAAGTGCAATACATTTTAAAATGACAATTACGATTTGATCTACTTTCAAAACATGAGTAATAATGATAATGGTATGATAAATACAGTGTCAATACAACGATCATCTCGAATAAAAAAATAATGCATCACAGTATAAATAATGTGCAGTATGTTACAAAATATTCCGAAAAATAAGTCGGGCATAAATTAAATATTGGTTTACTACCTGGACCTTATGTCACTATGATTCGTATATATTATATCATACATATTACTATGTATATTATGTACTTTAAATTGGAATATCACGTATCCGTTCAAATCCGTCACCTACACGAGCCCAGAAGATCGAATTACCAGATATGAAAGATGGAGGATTAATGAACATTATTGACTAGCATCAATAAAATCGAGCCAAAATTAGACTGTAAAAGTAATGGGTTGATTGTTTTAAGAATATTGTATTTATGTATTTATTACGCTCTACGTAAATTTAAAGTTGACGAAACGAAATTTTTTATTTTTAATTATATTATTTATATATATATATTAATTTGCGCTTCTAATCATCCAATAAAAAACAACTGAGATTTTTATTAATTTTTAAGTTATATTTTACTATTAGATAACGATGCACGCTGACTGCAGCATGTAAATGCATTATTTAATTTTGATGTAATTTCAGACGAGAAAAAATCAGATAAAGTTATAATTTTAACTTGGCTGATAACTAGTTGAGTTGTCGTTCATTATCAGTCGGAAAAGAAAAGTGTAAAATTTTTAACTTTTTAACCAATTAATGGCTTCTTGGTATGATTTGTCGTATGATTATTTCAACTCCAGCCCTTAAAAATGTGTCGGTTTCCAATGGATCGCTAGCAATTGCGGATGGTTCCATGTGCGGAAACAGTTAACACACATATTGTCACCGATATTTCTCATAGTTTTTCGACTATCACGTACCGTGGAAATCGAAATTTTTTGAAAATGTTAACAATTTCGGCTTTCGCATATCGAGTTGACCACTGCTCGTCCTTCTAGATATGTACTCGTACATCACCAGCGCCTCTCCGCAAGACTCAATAATCCATATCTTGCACCACAGACGTCTCAGCTGAAATTGACCCCTGCGAATCCGCTCATTCGCTATGTGCGATTCGACGTATCGTAATCGCGTATTATCGCGTGATCCTACGGGTCGCGTTTTTTAACAGGAAAATAACGTCGCGCGTACACGTGTCTCGCTGCTAAAACGCGCACGCGAGGGACATCGGACCGACCGTCAACCTTGGACCCGGTCTTACTGCCGTGTTCCATACTTCACTACGTCGTTATCGGTAATTGACGCAAGTTGTTTACTCTCCGCAACACGACTTATTGTTGCACGCGTAGGTGCTTATTGATATATTTATCCTTTTTAACGAATTCGCGCGCAATTAAAAGAAGAAAAAAAAACGAAACGAAAAAAAACCCCATAATAATATTTAGTTCGCAGTCGAAACCGTTCGGTACGGGATATAAATACACAGACTTTCGGCGATTGCGCCCGTACCAATCGATTTTAGCTGCTATTGTGTACGTATACGTATGTGGTTTATAACGTATCATGTGCAATGTACACGTTTTATGCATATAACATGTCTATAAATATAAACTGTAGCACAATATGTACATAATATTATTATAAATACACCACTTCGTAATCGAGCATAACACATTATTATCTATTGCACGCGCACATTTTTCGATTAGGTAAAAGTTTTAAAATAGTTGCGAATTGTTAATTATTTTTTATATGTACATAAATATTTTATACAATACATCCATCAAGAATTGTGCACGAGAACCAATGACAATACGGTATTCTAATAATATTTTATAAGGTATCAGATATCTTCTTTGTGTACTTACTGTATAAATCGCTGTCGGTAGAGTGTATGAGTATTTTATTCGGACAATTTTAACGAATTTCTAATTCGGTCGAGTTGGTCAAAAAATAAACATAAATCTTTGTTTGGTGGCTTCATAAGAAGAGGAAACAAGTAATTCACAGTTTATGTTTTACCATAACATAATTACAATTGATCAGAGTATAATAATTTGAGTGATTTAAAATCAAAACATGATAATTCACGGGAAAAAATATAAGTTGTGCCACTAATTTTAGAATATTGCTCTTTTATTGTGAAAAATATATAGCGTCTACGTTGACATCACGTCACGTTACTGCTATCATTTGCACTCAACTCGATAAATATAGGTTTTCAACTACGGAAACATTTTCATTTTCTATTTATGATTTTTTTATTACAAATATTAAATTTCCATAATGTAAGTTAAATGGCTATTTTGCTTTTGTTAATACCGTATACTAGTAATTAAAATGTTCAACAAGATTTTTAATAACTACTAATTCTTATAAATTTAACTAACTAAATGATCATCATAATAACTTATCATAGGTTAATCTTAACTCAAATATAAATTGTAAAAGTTTAATAATGCGTGATAATTCGCGTGGCGGTGGATAAATAATCTTTCGACTATTTTTTTTATTTTTATTTTTTTTTTTTGTAAGAAAGTCACCCTCATTGATTTTTATAATAGCCTATACGAATATACAGGTATAATGTATTTCAGTTTTTTTATATTTTTTATTTTATCACTGCAGACGGTTGGTTGGATTCGAACCTTTCGGGTTTTCAACCATATTACCCCACCATCATATATAAACGCATTCAATTAATAATTATTTTTTTCTAAATATATGTACTTACTTTTTTTTTATATAATACTATAGTACATTTTAGATTACGTAAGACGTATACTTTGCCTCTATATGTTAAAATTAAAATTCCTTTATTTTTATAAATAAAATTACATAATATAAGATTTTTTTCAGTGA